TCTACCGCTCCATGTTTTACAAGTTTTGTTTTTCGGCTTTTTACCAAGCTTTGGAATCTTGTTTTACTTTGTCAGTTGATTTAAATATCTTGAATTCCCCCCCCCAAATATAGCATTACTTATATCATATATGTAGAGTTCATCCTATAACTTTGGAATGTTGGAACCTTAATATTTAATTTAACAGCTCTAATTTTCATGGTTAATTTCCAAGTTAACTTTAGATGTGTTGGGCACCTTATATTTTCACAGCTAAGACTAGTAATGATAACAAAGGAATACTAAAGAAACCTAAATGTGTTCCCTCCTTTGGGTGCACTGAATTTTAAGTTAGTATTTCGACTATAGTGGTCTAGCCCACCCGCTGACACAGTGATTCTTTGTCACGGTTAGAGTTTGAATCTTGAAACATGAACTGATGATTCTGCCTGTAGCTGTGGCTGTACTGTCTATGAAGAGAGGCAGTCTACAGGTTTTTGAGAGTGAGGGCTTTGGTCCCACACAGGCTTAGTTTGTAATCTTGGTTCTACCACTATCTAACTGCAGCACCCTGAACCAGAAACTTAACCTCCATCTTTAAATTAGAGGTGATAGTAACTATTTCATAGGAATGTTGTGAGGATTAAATGACATTGACATACAGTAAACAGTCAATCAGTGTTAGGTAATATTTTTAGACATTCATCATGTTGTGGAAGGTCTTTTTACTTGATTGTTTCTATCTGGCTTAGGCTACTTCATCCTCCCTGATCTTCTATAAGATGACTGTAAGACGAGTGCTCAGCATTTGAGTATCAAGAGTGTGATCAATGTTAGGGATCCAAATACAAGCTAGATAGCATGTGATCCATTGTACTGGTGTTGGGATACTCCCCCTACATTTTTTTTTTTTAATCTAGTTGTGCTTTAAAATTCCAGGTAATATAGGAAAAACAACCACATAAGACTATGCTGAAGGGTAGAGCTGAAATCCTTTCAATAGATAGACTTGGAGGGAAGTAATAGTTATATTTGAGTATCTTTGATTCTTTGAATGATTATCCAGTGTCTCAATTAAAAATTTGTTTTCTCACTTAGTCTTCAACAAGCAGACGACAGCACCCCCTTAATAAGCATCTCTTTAAACCTTCCACTTTCATGACTTCCCATGAACCACCAGTATATATGGATGAAGATGATGACCGATCCTGTTTTCATAGCCACATGAACACTGCTATTGAAGAAGCATCAGTAAGTTACCTATTTATATAAAAACCTATTTATCTATGTGTTGTACAGATCAGGGTACAGAATGAGAGCATCAGAATTTTTAAATTATTCCTACCCTTCAGAGAATGTTGGTTTCTTTTAATTACCAAATTTATGGGCTTTTTAAAAAAACAATATATTGTTAAAAACAAAAACAATACATTGTTAAATTGTTATATATTAATAGTATATATCATTATATTATTATATACTTATATATAACATGTAAATGAGAGGAAACTTAAAAACATGCAAAAATAGAATAAAATGAATTATATATATAATAAAAGAAATTTTTTAAACATATGCAAATATAGAGTAGTATAATGAACCCACATGCACCTGTCATCCAACTTCAATAGTTAACAACTTGTTGCAATCTTATTTTCATCTATACTTCTTACCCACCTCATATTCATCCTGAGTTATTTTGGAGCAAGTCTCAGACATAACAGAGTTATTATTATCATGTTTATAAAAAGGTAATTCTTTATACAATCAAACATATGCTCAGTTCACGTTTCCCCAGTCATAAATTGCAATAGATTTCCTCCTTTCCTCCTTCCCTTCCCATCCTCCTTTTCTCCTCCTACAACTTTTTTGTTGAAAAATTGGGTCATTAGGGCACCTGGGTGGCTCAGTCGTTAAGCGTCTGCCTTCGGCTCAGGTCATGATCCCAGAGTCCTGGGATCGAATACCACATCAGGCTCCCTGCTCGGCGGGAGACCTGCTTCTCCCTCTCCCACTCCCCCTGCTTGTGTTCCTGCTCTTGCTGTGTCTCTCTCTCTGTCAAATAAATAAATAAAATCTTTAAAAAAAAAAAAAATTGGATCATTAGAATTTACCACTGTGTGTATTTTGTTTGCTTCTCCTTGGTGTCACTCTGTCTTCTGTTGCCTGAATTTTCTGTAAATTGATAGTAGGTCTAGATAATTGGTGTCACTTAGAAGTTCTGTTTTTCTGCTCCCTAAATTTTCTGTAAATTGAAAGTAGGTCTAGATAACTGACCAGATTCAGATCTGTTTTTTGCTTTTTTTTTTTTTTAAGATTTATTTGAGAGAGAGAGCGAGCATGCATGGGGTGTAGGAGCAGAGTGGGACAGAGAGATTTTTAAGCAGATCCCGTGCTGACTGTGGAGCCTATGCGGGGCTCGATCTCATGACCCTGAGATCACAACCTGAGCTGAAACCAAGAGTCATACTCTTTTTTTTTTTTTTAATTTTTTATTTATTTGAGAGAGAAAGAGTACAAGCCAAGGGAAGGGCAGAGGAAGAGGGAGAAGCGGACTCTCCTCTGAACAGGGAGCCGGTGGCAGGGTTCTATCCCAGGACCCTGAGGTCATGACCTGAGCCAAAGGCAGATGCTTAACTGACTGAGCCACCCAGGTGTCCCAAGAGTCAGACTCTTAACAGATCACACCACCCAGATTTGTTTGTTAGGGTGAGCAGGACTACTTCATGTGCACTTTCATCAATCTGCTTGTCTTTTTTTTTTTTTTTTTGACATAGTAGCTGTTGATCATTGCCTGGATTCATTAATTCATTCGATGTTACAAAATAGTGATATTCCTTCATTTCTTCATTATTTTTTTGATAGAATATTCTGTGAAGTAACCCCCTCTTCATCAACTATTTGATTACCCGAAGTTACATATGGAAAAGGCAGTATAAGTGCTTGATTGTTCCCCTTATTTTCTTATTTTTAAAATGATTGAGGGGCACCTGGGTGTTGCAGTTGGTTAAGCATCCGACTCTTGATCTTAAGCTCAGGTCTTAATCCCAGGGTTGTGAGTTCAAGTCCCATGTTGGGCTCCACACTGGGTGTTTTTTTTTTTAAAAAAAAAAGTACTTTATTTAGATTTGGAGTTTAAGTGAAAGAACTCTAAAGAAGTGCTAGTCAAGCTGGCATTAAAGGATGAACAAAATTTAGCCAGGTGAGGGGTAGATTAATACATGTAGTAGATTGAATTTGATTTAACTTTTGTTTGGTTGATTTAATTTATTTTTAAATGAGCACCAGTTTAAATCATTCTGATTATTCAAATGTATATTCATGAAGCCACTAGTGGTAAAATTTTTTTTTGCTTTTCTGAAGAGAAAAGCAATATCTAGGGGCGCCTGGGTGGCTCAGTTGGTTAAGCGGCTGCCTTCAGCTCAGGTCATGATCCCAGGGTTTTTAATAAAAATCTTTATTAAAAAAAAAAACAATATCTAGAGAGAGAATATGATTGCATGTATATACTTCCATACAGTTTTAAAATCTGTATACCATTTTAGCCTCATTTGAAATTAGTCGTAGTATTTCCCCTTTAAGTAAACTTGAAAACTGATTATAACAAGGAACTCTGTTTATGGGTATTTAAAAAATATTTTGTGATAAATACATATAACCTTAAATTTACCATCTTAACTAGTTTTTAAGTGTATAGATCAGTAGTGTTAAGTACATTCACATTTTTTTTTTAAAGATTTTATTTATTTATTTGACAAAGAGATAGCACAAGTAGGCAGAGTGGCAGGCAGAGGGAGAGGGAGAAGTAGCCTCTCTGCTGAGCAGGGAGCCAGACATGGGGCTTGATCCCAGGACCCCAGGATCATGACCTGAGCCGAAGGCGGCCGCTTAACCTACTGAGCCACCCAGGTGCCTCTACATTCACATTTTTGTGCAACCAATCCCCAGAACTCTTTAATTCCTGGAAAACTGAAACTCTGAACCATTTAACAGCATCTCCCCATTGCCTCCTGCTTCCAGCCCCTGGCAGCTACCATTCTACTTTGTTTCTGTGAATTTGGCTACTCTGGGTACCTCATATAAGTGGAATCATGCAGGTTTTGCCCTTTCTTGACTGGCTTATATCTCTTAACATAATGTATTCAAGATTCATCCATCTTGTAACATGTATAACTATTTCCTTCCTTTTTAAAGCTGAATAATATTCCGTGGTATATATATATACCACATTTTGTTTATTGGCTCATCTGTCAGTGGACACGGTTTGCTTTCACCTTTTGGCTATTGTGAATAATCCTACCATGAACGTAGGTGTACAAATACCTGTTCGAGTCCCTGCATTCCGTTCTTTTGGGTATATACCCAGAAGTGAAATTGCTGGATCCATATGTTAATTCTACGTTCAATTTTTGAGGAATCGCCATACTGTTTTCTGCAGTGGCCACAACAATTTACTTACTCACCAATAGTGCACAAGGGTTTCAGTTTCTCTACATCCTTGTCAACACTTGTTACTTTCTTTTTTTTTTCTTTTGATAGTAGCCATTCTGCTGGTTGTGAGGTGATTTAACTTTTCTTAGTCTTGTTGACCAAATTTAATAGTATCCTTAGACCTAAAATGCAAATTAAAAAATTTGGCAGCATTTTTACTCTGTAGTAGCTTAAAATATATCTGAATTTAATAAATTTCATTATAAAATTTCTTACCCCATTATTTAGTTAGGCCACATTGTATTTATTAGTGTTACATATTTATTACATTACTTATTTTGTCATTCTCTGTGCTGACATAGGAAGGCAGTAGCTATAATTTAACATCTTTAATTGACAAGAATTTGAAATGGGTGAAAGATAGTGTGAGATGAGGTAGGTGAAATGTGAGATTGTAAAGAATCTTTTGTTAGCTGAAGACTTTGGACTTGTCTCTGTAGACAGGAAGCCATTGGGAGATTTTAAGCCATTGTGGGGCTTGAGGAAGGAGTGGATACTCTAGAGGGGCAATTTGAAAGATTTTACCATTTTTTTTTTTAAGATTTTATTTATTTATTTGACAGAGAACAAGCAGGGAGAGCGGCAGGCAGAGGGAGAGGGAGAAGCAGGCCCCCCATGGAGCAGGGAACCCAATGTGGGGCTCGATCCCAGGACCCCAGGATCATGACCTGAGCCGAAGGCAGATGCCTAATGACTGAGCCACCCAGGCGTCCCTGTGTCAGTATTTCTTATACTTAGTTCATTTTAATTATCAAACATTTTTATTTTCTCTTTTATTCTTTATTAGGATGAAGAAAGTATTCCTATCATGTATAGGAATTTACCTGAATATAAGGAACTATTACAATTTAAAAAGTTAAAGAAGCAGAAACTCCAGCAGATGCAAGCTGAAAGTGGATTTGTACAACATGTGGGCTTCAAGGTAAATTTTACTGTTTATTCAGTTTTTGAAAGGATGATAAGAGATATTTAAGGTAGTTTCTGGAGCTTTAAATTCCAGACTTCCCAGCACAGATAAAAGTAAGTAGAGTTCTAGTCCTGTTCATTTAACTATAGTGTGCTACACGTACTGATGTTAATAGGTTTATGATTCAATGGAACGAAGACAAACATACAGACATCTGTATTTTGAGGTGAAATATGAGATGTTTTTGTCTAGCTATTTCTCTTTCTTCCTCCCACCTTTACTGAGATATAACTGACAAAAATTTTATATATTTAAGGTATACACAATTTTAAGGTACAAAAACATCACCTCACATAGATACCTTTTTTGTATGTGTGTGGTGACAACACTTGTGATGGACTCTCTTAGCCAATTCCAAGTCTACAGTACTGTATTATTAATCCCATGCTGTACGTTAGATCTCCAGAACTTACTTATAATTGAAAATTTGTATCATTTGACTAACATCTCCCCATTTCTCCCACCTCCCAGCCCCTGGCAACCACCATTCTACTCTCTGCTTCTATGAGTTTTGAGGTTTTTGTTTTCACATATAAGTGAGATTGTGTAGCACCTGTTCCTTTCTCTGTGGTTTATTTTACTTAGCATAATGTCCTCTACTCTCTCATCCATGTTGTCACAAATGGCAGGATTTCTGTTTTATGGCTGAATAATATTCCATTGTGTATGTGTGACATTTTCTTTATCCTTTCTTCCATCGGAGCTATTTCTCTTTTTGTTGTTGTTGTTCATAGATGAGAAATTTCTTTTCCCCTTCCAGGCTAGTAGAAGTACATCCATTCAGGGGCGCCTGGGTGGCTCAGTTGTTGAGCGTCTGCCTTCGGCTCAGGTCATGATCCCAGCGTCCTGGGATCGGGCCCCGCATCGGGCTACCTGCTCTGCGGGAAGCCTGCTTCTCCCTCTCCCACTCCCCCTGCTTGTGTTCCCTCTCTCGCTGTCTCTCTCTCTCTCTCTCTGTCAAATAAATAAATAAATAAATAAAATCTTTTAAAAAAAAAAAAAGTACATCCATTCATTCCAGCAAATTTTGAAATACCCATTATGTTCCAGGCACTTTGCTTAAGTGCTAGGGATTCAGTAGTAAACAAGATGGACTCAGTTTCTGTCCTTATTCTGTTTTCATCTCATAAGGAATTTAGTTAAGTTAGTAAAATAATTGACTATGCCTAGAGAACATACTGGAGAGTAGTGAGGCTATTGAAGTGCCTTGGAAATTGCTGAGGAGTTTAAACTTTCCTTAAAGGTTGGGGAATCATTGAAGGAGTTTAAGCAGAGAGTAATACGAAATTTGCACTATAGAAAAATCATTCCTGTTACTTATACTATTAGTATTGACAATCTTTGGGAAGGCACGGGGATTAGAGTGGATAATTTCTGAGTACTATATTGTTAAATTCTATAAACAGTAATGTATTCATGTATGTTACTTAAAAAAATTTAAAAAAATATGTAATTAAAAAAAATTAAGTGATGGAGAAGATCATTCTGGACTTAGTATGGAGAATGGATAAGAAGAAGTCAAGGCTGGAGGCAGGGAGACTGGTTAGAGACTCTTGGTAATTCAGACAAAAGATGAGAATGTCGAGGCTTGATTGGTGGCTGTGGAAATCGAGAGAGATTGACAAGTTTGAGAACACTTCAGGCTTTAGAATTGACTGTATTTGGTGAGATTGGAGGAAGCATTTCTAAAATGAGACCAGGAACTACAGAGTTGCTGGTAGTGGTTACATAAACATACTGATATGTGCTGTGACTGATATACAGAAACTTAAAATTATTATACCTCTGAACCTCTAGTATGCCCATTAGCCAGACTGTATTAAATGATTTTTCCTCCTGGTCTTTCCATAACCCTGCTTCTCCATTAGAAATTTTCCCAGTTATCATCTCTGGCCTTTCCAGAGGAAATGCTCCACTTCTCAAAATTTTGCTGTAAGACCCAGCTGTGGCTTGTTTACTAAACTGTCAGCCACTCTAGTTGGCCTGATGATCAAAGAAACTAGAAATGAGATTTATTTCCAAAATTGCCCAGGAGAGACTGAGGGGGCTACCAGGATGCCACCACACTGGGAAGAAGCTAGATCTGCCTTTTCTTTATGATGGGCATTGGTTATTAGGATCCTTCAGGCTTTGGAGAGTAATTCAGTATGATAAAAGTGTAGAGAGGATTTGTGTTTACCTGGGTTCACTTAGTGATAGCTTG